AGCTGTTATATTACAGGCATTGCAATCAACGTCATGAAACAAAATGTATATGAACTGTTGAATGGAAAACAAATTTGCCCTGTAAATTTTCACACAAATCACAATAAAAACAAAATAAAATGTAAAACCAAAAAGAAGAAGAAGAAGAAGAGACTCTGAAACTTGCTCTTGAGTTAGAGTAGCTAAAGGGAACAGGAGAAATGATGATGTAAAAGAGCTGAACAGAAGATTTCAAAGGGTGGCTCAAGAAGACAAAGTAAAAGTATTATAATGAAACATACAAGGACCTTAGGTGAGTAAACCAAAAGAGAAGAACACACTTGACATTTCTCAAGCTGAAAGAACTAAAAATTCAAACCTCAAGTTTCAATGTTGAAGGAATCTATGGGCAAAATATTGAATGATGCAGGAAACATCAAAAGAAGATGAAAGGAATACACAATTGCTGTACCAAAAAGAATTGGTTGATATTCAAGCATTTCAGAAGTTAATAGATGATTAAGAACCAGTGGTACTGAACAAAGAAGTCCAAGCTGCACTGGAGGAATTGGTGAAAAACAAAGCTCCAGAAATTGACACAATACCAATTAAAATGTTTCAACAAACAGATGCAATGTTGGAAGTGCTCGCTTATCTGTGCCAAGAAATTTGGGAGACAATTACCTGGCCAACTGACTAAAGAGATCCATATTTGTGCCCATTCCAAAGAAAGGTGATCCAACAGAATGCAGAATGATGGAACGATACCATTAATATCACACACAAACACAATTTTGCTGAAGAGAATTACTACCAGAAATTCAAGCTGGATTCTGAAGAGGGATATCATTGCTGATGTCAGGTGGATCTTGGTGAAAAGTACAGAATACCAGAAAGATGTTTACCTGTGTTTTATTGACTATGCAAAGGCATTTGACTGTGTGGATCATGACAAATTGTGGATATTTTGAAGAATGGGAATTCCAGAACACTTAATTGTGCTCATATGGAACCTGTACATCAACCAAGAGGCAATCATTCAAACAGAACAAGGGGACTATGTGGTGTAAAATCAGAAAAAGTATGCATCAGGGTTGTACCCTTTCACCAAACTTATTCCGTGTGTATGCTGTGCAAATAATCCAAGTAACTGGGCTCTGTGGCTCTGTGAAGAAGAATGCAGCATCAAGTTTAGAGGAAGACTCATTAACAACCTGTAATATGCAGATGACAAAACCTTCATTGCTATAAGTGAAGAGGACTTGCAACGCTTACTGATGAAGATCAAAGACAGTCTTCAGTAAGGATTACACCTCAACATAAAAAAAAAAAAAACACTTATTGAGTCAGATTCGACTCATAGTGACCCCTCCTTGGGTTTCCAAGGTGGTATCTCTGAGGAAATAGATTGCCCAATTTTCCTTCTGAGGAGTAGCTGGTGAGTTTGAACCATCAGCCTTCTGGTTAGCAGTCAAATGCCGTAGGCACTATGCCACCTCAACATAAAGAGAACAAAATCCTCATACTTGGATCAATAAATGGAGAGAATATTGAAGTTGTCGAGAATTTCATTTTACTTGGGTTCACAATCAATGCCCATGGAAACAGCAGGCAAGAAACCAAAACAATGTATTGTATTGGGCAGATCTGCTGCAAAAGACCTTTAAAAAATGTTAAAAGCAAAGATGTCACCTTGAGGACTAAGGTGTGCCTGACCCAAGCATGGTATTTTTAATTGCCTCACATGCTTGCAAAAACTAGACAATAGTAAGGAAGACTGAAAAAGAATTGATGCATTTGAGTTATGGTGTTGGCCAAGAATACTGAATATACTATGGACTGCTAGAAGAACAAATAAATCTGTCTTGAAAGAAGTATCCTTCTTAGAAGTGAGGATGGTGAGACTTCATCCTACATAATTTGGACATGTTATCAGAAGAGACCAATCCCTGGCAAAGAACATCATATTTGGTAAAGAGGTCAGCAAAAAAGAGAAAGACCCTCAATGAGATGAATTGACACAGTGGATGCAACAGTGAGATCAAATATAGCAACGAGTGTGAGGATGGGATATGATTGGGCAATGTTTTGTTCTGTACGTAGGGTTGCTATGAGTCAGAGCTGACTTGATGGCACCTAACAAGAGAAAGGTTCAGAACTAACTGTCTGTCAGAGCCTTCCAAATTGAACAATATCCGAATTCTAGGGCATCATTTCTTTCTGTCCCAAAGGATGGTACAGCTAAAGAACTGCCTTCCTTACCAAGAGGGGCCAGGAAGCATCAGTTGCCTGAGGTCCAGACACATTGGGGCTGTCAGCCTGGGGAGCAGCCCTTTCAGGAGAAGTCAGCTGCTTCAGGACCTGACCCAGGTCTGACTGATTCCAAGCAAGCAGACCAGCTTGTGAGGGCAGGGCAATGCATAGGGGCTGCCTTGGTCACCTCCAAAGCCACTCTGGGTGTGAGGCAGGACAGAAAAAAGTGCCAACACTTGATGGAAGCTCCCCTCTCAGAGAGGCCCCAGCATGGCTCTGGGCTGCAGGAAATGGAGGGCAGGAAGAGGGGCTGGGGCCTGAGCAGCCGCCTTGCTCCCATCTGCAAAGCATCAGTGGGGCAGGCAGGGTGGGGGTTTGTGAAGGGGGACGGGGAGGAAATGAGAATAAACACAAGTGAGCAGAGAGGGAAGGGGCGGGGGGCTGTGGCCTCAGCCCCTTGGCAGCCCATGAAGGGAAGTGACACAATGAGGAATGTGTTTCCCTCTGCCCGTCCCCCACATGGGGGTGGGAGGCAGAACCCTGAGAATGGCCAGACCCCAACAGGGGCCAGAGGGCGCATGCTAGAACAGCACGGGGGAGGGGTAGCCAGGGCCGATGTCTGGGCAGCCAAGGGGGAGGTGATGGGCAGGAAGAGTGACCCTGGCAGTCAGGGCTCATGTTTCATGTCCTATTTGCACTTTACATGTAATGAATATGCTTCTGGGGTCTGTATACTTAGACACACATTCCCTGCATGTGTCCAGCACTGGGGGCACCTCCCAGCACACCCAGGCATGACGCTATCCCTCTTCCAGGAAGTTAGCCCTTCCTGGTGGCTTGCCCTTCCTGCTCAAGGGGATTGATTCAGAGATAGGGAGGCCAAGTCCTTGGCATGAGAGGGAGCTGAGGTGTGAAGACCCCTAGCCATGGGCAGGACTGAGCAGGGTGTTTTCTCAATTTCTCCGGGTGTTTATGTCCCCTGACTGGGACTGTGTGCAAACAGTCCTCCTGGTGGGACAGCACCTCCCCATCCTGGACACCCACTTCCTCTCCCCACAGCAGGGAGCCAACTTGCTCTGTTAACCCTCTCCTGTCTGTAATCCACAGATGTCCCTGAGGATTTGCCAGGCAGATCTGAACGCCTCCTCCCTTACTCTGGGCTAGCGGACTAGGGAGGACAGAACTTTGGTCCCAGATATCACTATCAGTTTCTCCTCTTACTGTCACAGTCCCCAGGCCCTTTTGATATGTTGGTTATTCCAAGAATCCCCTACCTGATGCTTCATAATCTCCTGGGTGTTTGAGTGGGGTAGGGAGGACATGGGAAAGTGAGCAAAGTGGCTGCAGCTTCCATCTTCAGTCCCGGGGAGACTGGGGTAAGCAGGGAAGCTTCCTGGTAAGTTGTTTTGGTTTGGCCCAGGAAGGATCCAGGTTGCCCTTGAGTAGTTGTGCAAGTGACCTCTGGTCCAGCACAGAGGATGAAGGTGTGGATGAAGGCCACTGGGCCAGCACTTGGGTCTTAGTGGTCCTTCCTGCCTCAATGTATAGAGGGGGTGGCTGCAGGCTTAAGTGTTGGACTAGGGCCAAGTTGGTCCCCAGTGGGTGGAGCTGTCCCTTCAGCACTGCCGCCATGGGAGTTGCACCCTGGTAGCATGATTGAGCTAAGCCACCAGGCTGAGGGACAGGAGCTGCTCTGACAAGTCATCCACAGTTGGCTCTTTAGGGTGGGTGGAGCTCAGCCCTAGAGCCCTGAGAGGGCTACAAGCCATCTTCCGTTCTGTCTGTGACCTGCTTGAGCTCAGCCCAGAGGCAGCACTTCTTCTCTCAGCACTGTGGGCTCCTGTGAGACCCTGGAGAGAAGGCAGGGCTGATGATGTTGAACAAGCCTTCACCTTCCCTAGGCTTCAGCTTCTTCCTCTGAAAATCAAGGGGCCTTGGCCAGATGATTTACAATCCTGCCCAAGAGTCAGGGATCCAGGTCAGAGTCCACTTGGTCATCCACCTGCTGCATAGTCTGTTTCCTTACCTGTCAAATGGAGAAATAGGAAGAGATAAAATAGCTGTAAAAATACCTCCCTATAGCCAGGGTCCATAAGAATTTGCCTTGAATAGCATTTGTATGAGGCACATTTCCAAATGATTCTCACAGCAACCTTGTGAGATATTCAGGGTAGCTCAACAGAGAGTGACATAGGAAATCAAGGCATCCTGACTCCTACCTAGTTCAGTGTTTGTTCTACTCCTAGTTTCCATCATGTTCTGCTGCCTCAAACCAAGGTCCTTTTCAATCCCATCTCTTGGCCTCTACATCCTGTCTAACATTTTTTTAACCAGTGCCCCTTGATGGTGGTCAGGGAGGCTGAAGAAACCTGTCTGAAAGGTGGTGGTAGTTGTTAGTTTCCGATGAGTTGATTCCAACTCATGGAGACTCATGTGTTCAAAGTAGGACTGCTCCATAGGGTTGTCTTGGCTATAATCTTTATGGAAGCAGGTTGCTAGGCCTTTCCTTCCATAGTGCCACTGGGTGGGTTTGAACTGCCAACCTTTAGGTTAGCAGTTGAGCACGAACCATTTTCACCACCTAGGGACCTTATTGTCTGAGGAGAGGATTCCTTAATCCAACCTCCCCAACCAGCACTGAGAAGAGCAGAGACTTAGAAGGAAAGAGAAATTCAACACTTCCTGTGACTATGAGCATACCCACCTAGGGGAGCAGTGTGACCTCAGAGAGGGAGAGGTGTGAGGGTCTCTTCACCTGCCTCCCACAGGGACCTGAGGAACAATGTCATCAGCACAGTGGAGCCCGGTGCCTTCCTGGGTCTGGGAGAGCTGAAGCGCTTGTGAGTGACATGTCTTACCCTCAACCCCTCCAGTTCCTCCTCTTATCCCTGGGGAAAGTCCCATAAAACCCATGAGCAACCACTCTTTTTTCTATCCCTTCTCCACAGCCCTACCCACAGCTTTCCCTCCTGCCCCAACACAGGGTGTTAGCGGAGGTTAAACAAGTGGACATTTCAAGCTCAGATGTGGCACTGGCCCAAACCCATCTCCTTTTTCATCTTGCTCCACACACAAGCCGCAGTCACACATGTCCCTCACACAAGCAGAGCCATGAGCCACCATGTGGCCGACTTGCTGAGGTTATGTGTGTGTCTCTCTAGAGATCTCTCCAACAACCGGATTGGCTGTCTTACTTCCGAGACCTTCCAAGGCCTCCCCAAGCTTCTCCGACTGTGAGTGAGGCGAGAAGGCTCACCTGAAGGAGGGTTGGGGAGGAAGAAGTCAGCACCAAATTCCTGCAGGTGTCTCCTCTCACCCCTCCCCTTCTCTGACCTAAGGTCTATCTCTCTGTTTCCCAATTCCCTACAGAAACATATCTGGGAACATCTTCTCCAATCTCCAGCCTGGGGTCTTTGATGAGTTGCCAGCCCTTAAGGTTGTGTGAGTATCTTTTCCCAGCCCAAAGACTCAGAACCCTGCTCCCTTCCTCAGCCAGGAGGGAGGCACATAAGCCCTGGGGCCACCATGGCCAGCCTTATGAGTAGGTAGAACAGAGAGTGCCTAAAACTGCATATTCAACTTTCCATGATTACCCAGTGGGTGGAGGAGTGCACACATACCCACGTTTGCCCTCTCCAGCCCTGACCAGCCTCATCCCCTTCCTGGGACCCCATCCTCACCCCAAAGGCCCACACCCCCTCTGCTGTACTCTATGACCCCTCTGCAGGGACTTCGGCACTGAGTTCCTGACCTGCGATTGCCACCTGCGTTGGCTGCTGTCCTGGGCCCGGAATCACTCCCTGCAGTTGTCAGAGCGCACACTTTGCTCCTACCCCAGTATGCTGCATGCCCAGGCCCTGGGTGGCCTCCAGGAGGCCCAGCTCCGCTGTGGTGAGCAATTCCTCCCCTCTGTCTACTGTGGACTCTGACTGCCCCTTCGAGCCCTAATACAATGGCCGAACTCCCTCTGAATAGCCCCACTCCTCCCTCAGACCAACAGCCTGTCCTGCCCAAGATGGTCTTGGCCCAGGGGCACATTACTCAATAAGCAAGGTAAGCACCAGCTTACCTGTGTGTTTACTTACTAATCTGTAGTGAACAGTTTCACATAGTTTTTGTCACATCTTTGGTGTTCACTATAGATTAGTAAGTAAGCCCATACTTACCTTGATTACTGGGTACTGTGTCTCTGTTAAGCACTGTAAATTTGAAAAAAGGCTTTGATTCTGTAGGAAGGTGCTGTGGGGTTGAGAGACAGAGAGATGCCAGCCATACATAAAAGACATACCAGAATCTTTGATGTGGTAAAAAATATGAAATTGTTCACTACAGATTAGTAAGTAAACATAAGTAAACCTTGCTTACCTTGCTTATTGGGTAATCTGACACTGTATCGGCCTTAAGTGTTATTTTATTGGGCAGTAGCCATGTTGTCTAGGGCAGCCTCTTCCCCTCAAATCTCACTGGGCCTCTGTTGGTTTTCTAAACTTCTTTTGGGGCTGCTCGTGTATGTTTTGATTGGGTCCTACCTCTTGGGGTGGGAGCTCTGGTAGCATAGTGCCTAAGGCATTTGACTGCTAACCAGAAGGCTGGTGGTTCAAACCCACCAGCCACTCCCTGGAAGGAAGGTTGGGCAATCTACTTCCGTAGTGATACCACCTCGGAAACCCCAGGAGGGGTCACTATGAGTCGGGTCTAACTCGAAGGCACATAACAACAACAACCTCTTGGGGTAACAAGTGTGCTATGGAAAGGAGCACTTCTATTTGCCCAAAAACTGTCTACTCCTCTCCTTTGCTCTTATCTCTGGAGGCCTTCTTTTGACCCCTTTTCCTTCCCCAGCTGCTGTGGGCTAGAGACAGAGGGGGGCTGCCCTGCCCCCCAGATCCTCACATATACATGCAGGCACACAGGCCTCACTACTTGGTATCTCCTCTGCAGAGGGGGCCCTGGAGCTGCACACGCACCACCTGATCCCTTCCTTGCGCCAAGTGGTGTTCCAGGGGGACCGGCTGCCCTTCCAGTGCTCTTCCAGCTACCTGGGCAATGACACCCGCATCCACTGGTACCACAATCGGGCCCCCGTGGAAGGTGATGAGCAGGCAGGCGTCCTCCTAGGGGAGAGCCTCATCCATGACTGCACCTTCATCACCAGGTATAGGCTCTGCTACAGCATAGTGGCTAAAGCACTTGACTGCTAAACAGAAGGCTGGTGGTTCAAACCCACCAGCCACTCCTCGGAAGGAAGTTTGGGCAATCCTACTTCCGTAGTGATACTGCCTCGGAAACCCAAGGAGGGGTCGCTATGAGTTGGGGCCAACTCGACGGCACAGAACAACAACAACAACCCCTTCTCAGAGCACAGCAGGACAAGTGGTGGTCACCTACCCACAAAAAGAGCTACGCCCAGACATGTCCCTGGACACGTGTTCACATGTGCATGTGCATGTGTGCTTATGAGAGCCTGGGACTAAGTCATAAATGGTCTGAATATGGAATAGGAACTAAATGGCTGATAAAATGATTGTGTCTGACATTTCTTTAGTACTTTTACAATGTATATAGTGAGTCCCATGTAGGTATCAGACTTAAACACTACAATAGACCTACAAGACAAGCATTATCTTCATGATGTTGTTGTTGTCATTAGGTGCCATCAAATCAATTCTGACTCATAGCAATCCCTGTGACTGAGGAGAACTGCCCCATAGGTTTTCCTAGGCTGTAATGTAGGAGCTCTGGTGGTGTAGTACCTAATGCATTTGACTGCCAACCAGAAGGCTGGTTCAAACTCATCAGCCACTCCTCGGAAGGAAAATTGGGCAATCTACTTCAGTAGAGAAACCACCTTGAAAACCCAAGGAGGGGTTGTTATGAGTCAGGACCAGCTTGACAGTGGTGAGTTTGTTTTTTGGTTTTGGAATGTTTACCAGAGCAGAGCACTAGGTCTTTCTCCCTCAGAATGGCTGGTGTGTTCAAACCACCAACCTTTGGGTTAGCAGCCCAGTACTTTACCACTGCACCACTGCTCCTTTATCTCCGTAATAAAGATGGGGAAATTACAGCTCAGAAAATAATTTCATAATCAGAATAAAAGGAATACAGACTTGCATTCCTCCCTAATTTAACAACATAAAAACAACTGGAAGCCAGCATCCTGTACACTCCAGACCGTGACACCTGTGGGTGGACTGGCCAGGGGGCTCTCAGGAGGGTGGCAGGGCAGGGCCTGCAAGTGCCTCACTGAGCCGCCTCCTTTGCCCTCAGTGAGCTGACCCTGTCTCACATCGGCGTGTGGGCCTCAGGAGAATGGGAGTGCTCCGTGTCCACAGTCCAGGGCAATGCCAGCAAGAAGGTGGAGATTGTGGTGCTGGAGACCTCTGCTTCCTACTGCCCTGCTGAGCGTGTTGCCAATAACCGTGGGGACTTCAGGTTAGGGTCTGCTCTGCAGAGAACATCCCTGAAGATCCAGCCTCCAACCCCAGTGCTGGCAGTCCCCAGTGCCCCCAACACCATCCCTCACTGTTGCATCTGAGACCACAGTCTCCCATCTTCTTTTGTCATTCAGTTCTAAGGCCCTTATCCTTATGTATAAAATTACTCTTAGATGTGCTGCACAGACCTGAAGGTTTTTATTTGCTTCCTGACATTAACAGTTTATAAAGCTTCTCCACAAGAAGTGTCACATTTTAATATCCCTATGACCATCTTCCTAAGGCACTTGACTGCTCACCAGAAGGCTGGCGGTTCAAACCCACCAGCCACTTCTCGGAAGGAAGGTTGGGCAATCCTACTTCCGTAGTGATACTGCCTCGGAAACCCAAGGAGGGGTCGCTATGAGTCGGGGCCGACTCGACGGCAAACAACAACAAATGACCATCTTAATTAAGTGGTACAGGCATTATTCTCCCAGTGTACAGGGGAAAATAGGCCCAGAAAGGATAAACAACTTGCCTAAGGCCATACCTAATAAATGGCAGAGCTTGGAATTGAACTCAGGTCTCTGAGTCCAGCCCCCATATCACCAGTGACAGTATTGTTAGAACAACCACCTAATTGGAAGTGCAGCTTGGAAACCCACTTAAGGCAAGTCCAAGCCCTCTCTCCTTGATCCTTCCCCACAGCCCAGAGGGATCTGGGATCACACTGCTAAGAGAAGGAGGGGTGGGGGGGCTTGCCCTAAGGAGCCTGGATCATCTGTTCCGTTCCTGCCTCTGCCTCCAGGTGGCCTCGAACTCTGGCTGGCATCACAGCCTACCAGTCCTGTCTGCAGTACCCCTTCACCTCAGTGCCTCTGAGTGGAGGTGCACCGGGCACTCGAGCCTCCCGCCGGTGCGACCGTGCTGGCCGCTGGGAGCCTGGGGACTACTCCCACTGCCTGTACACCAACGACATCACCCGGGTGCTCTACACCTTCGTGCTGGTGAGGCCAGGAAAGGGATGGGAAGGGGACACCCCATCACCCTCTGGTTCAGGGAACCAGGAAAGGAAGAAGCCTGCTGACCCCATGGGGTAAGGGGAGCCCACCCCAAGGCTGCTGTGCATCTCCACAGCTCCGTGGTGTGCACAGTGAGAGTGTGGTGGGGCCACACCTTGTCTCTGGGTGCTCTCTGCCAGCTTCCCCTCCCCCCTGCCCAAGCCCTGGGGAGGATTCAGATCCTCCATCCCATACCCCAGCACCCCTCACCAAGGCTTCTTTATCCACCAACAAACACTTCAAAGAGACAAGTCAAGGAAAGAGGGAAGTCGTAGTCCCATTATGCTAGGGCCAGTAGTCCTAAAGTGGGCAGCATTGAATTGCAAGGATGCATACCTCTGATCCCAATTCGTGCCATCCCCTTCCCAGGCACTGCCACCCTGAGCTACAGCTCAGAAGACAGAGGCCTCCTAGGGGTGGTTCTGGGTGAGAAAGAATAGGATAGGATGACCCTCTTTCTTCCTTCAACACCTTCAGATGCCCATCAATGCCTCCAATGCACTAACCCTGGCCCACCAGCTACGAGTGTATACAGCTGAGGCCGCCAGCTTTTCGGACATGATGGATATAGTCTATGTGGCTCAAATGATCCAGAAATTTTTGGGTTATGTTGATCAGATCAAAGAGGTGAGATTCCACTGGAAACCAAGCTTTCTCATGCCCAGCCCCTTGGGGCCCAAACCCCACTCCTGCCCTTGTCCTTCCCAGCTGGTGGAGGTGATGGTGGATATGGCCAGTAACCTGATGCTGGTGGATGAACACCTGCTGTGGCTAGCCCAGCGTGAGGACAAGGCCTGCAGTGGCATCGTGGGTGCCCTGGAACGCATCGGGGGTGCTGCCCTCAGCCCCCATGCCCAGCATATCTCTGTGGTAACATGGGTCATAGTAGGAGGGAGCTCCTAAGGGGGCTTAGCACTGGGAGGGGCATTAGAGCCGACCAGGGCCAGTTCTCATTATCCAGGAGAAGAGAAGAGAAACACTACTTTCTTAGTAACCAAGTTCTCCAAGTATGCACCTGCCATAAGCCTAACCAGCATGGACCACTATACGTGACTAAATGTTGATTGGTGTGGTATCAACTTCTAAGTTATCAGGGACACAGAAAAGGAAAGGGAAGTCAGTGACACTGGATAAGTTATGGAAAACTTTGTGGTAAGGAATGGTGCTTAAGGGATGTTATTATATGCCGTCAAGTTGATTCCAACACTATAGGACAGAGTAGAAATTCCCCACATGGTTTCCTAGGCTGTACTCTTTAGTGAACAGATCATCAGGTCTTTTCTCCCAAAGAGTCAATGGTGAATTCCAACCACCGACCATTTAGTTTGCAGCCAAGCATTTAACCATTTTTGTCCACAGGGTTCTTTTGTTGAAGGGAAAGCCTGATGGAAATAAATGAGAGAAAAGGTCAAAGGGGTAGAAGGAATAAGAGGAAAGCTTGTAAGAGAACAGATAGCACTTGCAGTCGAGTGAGGAGTCATGGAATCTTTTGTTCCTTGAGAAGAAGGTGATATGTCCAATATGAGGAAGGCATAGTTAGCCACTTAACAACTACAATATAGCACCTTCTATATACAAGATTGTTGTTATTTGCCAATGAGTCGGGGCCGACTCGACGGCACATAACAACAACAACAACATATACAAGATAGGCTGCTCAGCACTTCAGGAGATAAAAAGGTAAGATATGTTCCTGCTCTACAGCTTAGTTGGGCGAATAAATCTAGCACATGCTCAGAGGTGAGCAGGATACAAGAAAGGGTAAGGAAAAGTGCTGAGCAAATGGGAGAGCCAAAGGAAGGAAAAGGTGCTGCAGCCAGCAGTGGGCAGGTAACACTCTGTGGCAGATATAAGACAGTGAAGAATAAAGCACAGGGGGACACCACCTGGACAAATGTGCAGAGGGAACACACTGTCTCAGACAGACCAAGAGAGGGGCTGTCATATTTCAAACTGCGGAGTGACACATTCCTGTCCCTAGAACTCGAGAAACGTGGCACTGGAGGCCTACCTCATCAAGCCACACAGCTACGTGGGCCTGACCTGCACAGCTTTCCAAAGAAGGGAGGCAGGGATAGCCACAGCACGGCATGGCAGCCCCGGCCAGAATCCCCCACCTGACCCTGAGCCCCAGGCTGACCAGCAGCTCCGCTTCCGCTGTACAACAGGGAGGCCCAATGTCTCCCTGTCATCCTTCCACATCAAGGTGGGCACTGGGGGAGGAGGTGTGGGGCATGAAAGGGCTAAGAGGGGAGGGGCCCAAACTAGGTGCCTGGTGGGGGCAGGGCGTGATCTAACAGGAGGCAGGATCCAGGAAACGGGGAAGTGGGGGGTGGGAGAAGAGGGAGGCAAGAGGAGGGGACTGGAAGACATCAGAGTCCTAAGGGCTCCTGGGTGTCTCTGAGGAACTCCCATGTCCCCTCAGAACAGCGTGGCCCTGGCCTCCATCCAGCTGCCCCCCAGTCTGTTCTCATCCCTTCCGGCTGCCCTGGCTCCCCCAGCCCCCCCAGACTGCACCCTGCAACTGCTCGTCTTCCGAAATGGCCGCCTCTTCCGCAGCCACAGCAACACCTCCCGCCCTGGAACTGCTGGGCCTGGCAAGAGGCGCGGCGTGGCCACCCCTGTCATCTTTGCAGGAACCAGTAAGGGGCCAAACTCTCCCTGCTACTCAGGATCCTTCCCAAGTGTCTTTCCTGTTCCCCTTCATTCTGCCCTTTCCTCATCCACAGCGCCCCCCAATGTCCTGGTGAAGTTAGCAGAGGTGATATGGGCCCTTTACCATTTCCCAAGGTGGATAGGTCTGGGCCAGGCAGAGATGTCCCAAGAAGAGAAGGGGTCGGTAAGAGAAAAGACTAGATTCTATATTCCAGATCTGTCAAATTTCAAGAGGGCTATAAGCACAAACCCTTGACCCATCTCTTCCAAAACACACCAACACGCTTCTTGTTCTCCCACATACCTGCATGTGTGAACGCAATGATGGAAAGAGTCCCTGGATGTTGCAAACATTAGGCTGCTAACCAAAAGGTTAGAGGTTCAAGTCCACCCAGAGGTACCTGGGAAGAAAGGCCTGGCAATCTGCTTTCCAAAAATCCACTATTGAAAATCCTATGAAGCACAGTTCTAAACACAGCACTGTCTTTGGTGTTACAAGGAATAAAATATATAGGATACACACACACACACACACACATACACAGAGTCTGCCATCCAGCTGAGCAAAAAAAATGGATGTTACAGGAGGCTTCTGAAGCCCAAGTAAGACATGTTCTAAAAAGGCTCTGGGCCATTGTGGCCGGAAGAGGGATTGACATGGATGGGCCTTGAGGAATGACTGGGATTTTGAGAGACACCAGGAAGGGTGGAGATCCAGGCAGGGAGGAGGCACTCATAGCAGGAAGAACAATGTGAGCAGAAGTAGGGATATACCATGTTTGATTATCCCTAGCTCGGGGCCTGGCACACAGGAAACAAGGTGGATATAACAGGGGTATACCCTCAGCTACCTCATCCTCCTCTCTCTGCTCAACTCGGTATCTTTTCTCCCAGGCCACTTATCCCATGTTCAAAAAAAAAAAAAAAAAATCATTGCCATCAAGTCAATTCTGACTCATAGCAACACTGAAGGACAGAGTAGAACTGCCCTACAGGGTTTCTAAGGCTGTAATCTTTGCCAAAGCAGACTACACATCTTTCTCACACAGAGCAGCTGGTAGGTTGGAACTGCCAACCTTTTGGTTAGCAGCCAAGTGCTTAATCACTGCACCACCAGGGTTCCCCCAGTTGCTCCACATATGCCTTAATTCTATCATGATTTCACCATCCAGCTTGAAAATTTAGCTTCATCCTGGGCCCCTCCTCCCCACTCCTGGCCTGTCACAACCATCCCCTAATTTATGTTTGCCAGGCTGTCTCCATCTTCAGTCCATCCCACACACAGACACAAGGTTCAGAGAGCCCTTTAAAGCCCTTCAGTTGTTCCCACTGCCATAAGAACAAAGCCTGTCTTCCTCCATGTGCCATTTAGGGTACTGTGTGAGGTGGCCTCATCCCTTTCTCACAGCCAGAGGCTTTGTTGTCACTACCCTGAGTTCATCTCCTGATCCTAGAAGATATACTTTCCTGGGTCATTCATTCTGACCATGAGCACTTACTGAGTACCTGGCATGTGCCAGACCCCGTGCTGGGGCCGGGGTGCACCCCACCCAAGACAGCTCAAGGAACATGCAGTTCATCAAGGAAAACAGGCTTTAAACAAGTCATTGTAAGTGAAGCTCATATTACCAAGCAGTGGTGCACAGATGGCATTCTGGAGCATGTTAGGGCCATAGCTGGTCTTCCCTGAGGAACCAAAAGTTCCTACTGAGCCCTGAAGGATAAGTAAGTATTAACTGAGGAAGAGTAAAAGTTCCTGTGAGCAGCTGTGTGGAAGTGTGTGAGAGAAGGTGGTAGTTTAATGTGATGTACCCCATATGCCAGGCACTTTCCCTTCGCAGCTCTTGTTCATGGTTTCTCTCCCTTGCTGGGAATGCCTCCACCTCACCCTCCCTCCATCCCACCTACCTAATGCAGTGTCAACTTTCCCTCTTAAGGGTGCTCTCTTGACTCCTCTCTGCAGGCCTAAGACTGAGTTCTAGCTCCCTCGATATTAGCTTCTATACTGGGAACATCCTCCCTGGGCACCTCAGCCCCAGAGTCCTAGCTTCTTGGAGCACATATTCATTTGGCACTCTAAGTGGACCACTGCTTAGTACTTACGCTTTTTTCATTCATTGTGTCTCCCCAGCTAGAATGAAGCCCCTTGTGAGCAGGGCCCATATTTCCCTCTAATCATATCCCACGAACCCAGATCAATGCCCTGCCCCCAGCAGGTGTTTATATGCTCTGGCTGCTGATTCTTAGTTCTACCTGAGCCTGCCTCCCTGCAGGCCTGTGTGTATGTGTGGATTTCCCTCTCCCCCATAGGTGGCTGTGGCGTGGGAAACCTGACGGAGCCAGTGGCTGTTTCGCTACGCCACTGGGCTGAAGGGGTGGAACCTGTGGCAGCTTCATGGAGCCAGGAGGGGCCTGGGGGGCCTGGCGGCTGGAGCTCCGAGGGCTGCCAGCTCCGTTCCAGCCAGCCCAACGTCAGCTCCCTGCACTGCCAGCACTTGGGCAATGTAGCTGTGCTCATGGTGGGTGAAATGGGCCCAGGGTCAGAGGAAAAGGGAAAAAGGGAATGTGTGAGAGGTGGAGGCAGGTTCTCTGACGACCTGAGGCCAGACAGAAATAAAGGCCAGCAGCCTTATCTAGCTCCATAGCTGTCAGGACTCACAGGGAACTTTCCTCTGATCTCCCCCATACCTTTCCACCTTTCAGAAGACAGGGAGGTCCTGCCTCCAGTTCCACATCAAGAGAGACAGATCTGGAACTACACTGCCTGGCCTTCAAATCCTGCACTTTCTGAGCCTCAGATCTTTAAAGTGAGGGGGTGGTGGTGGTGGTGGAATGTAGAACATTTCTACTCTCTCTGGTCACCCTCCTCACTCATTGCTGTTTTCCCTCCCTCATCACACTTCCCACTCCATTTTCTCAGATACTAAGCAGCATGCAACTGTATTACAGACAGAACCTTCCCCCTATTTCCTCAACTCTGATTGTTTAGGCTGGAGATCTCAAAAATCTCCAGAAAGATGGATAAAAGGGGATGAAGGCAGATAGGAGGTTGTTGAGGCTACCTAAGCGTAGACATCCTGATGCTTACGTCCTTGTCAGCACCCAGGCTGGCAGAGCTTGGGAAAGGAAAACTGGCCTGGAGGACTGCTAAGGGCTCCACGGGATGGCCTCTACCAGCTTCATCATACCCACTTCCTCTTTTCACCCTTTCACAGGAGCTGAGTACTTTTCCTCGGGAAGTTGGGGGCTCAGGAGCAGGGCTGCATCCTGTTGTGTACCCCTGCACAGCCCTGCTACTGCTCTGCCTCTTCTCTACCATCATCACCTATATCCTCAACCACAGGTGGGCACTTCTGCAGGATGAGAGGGCTCTGGTGGGAAGGCAGTGGGTCTCACTAAGTATTGACAAGTGTTTCTCAGGTAGGTACACATGACTTTCTCAGGCTCTTGTCTTTGAAAGTTCTGAGGTCAGAAACCACATTTCAGGGGTTGAGGACTTCCTGCCCTGTGGCCTCTATCACATACACACTTTTGCATGCACACAAATACCTGCACTTTGCCATCCCCTTCCTTCTTTGGCCCTCCCAGTGGCCTGGAGACCCCATAGGCCTGATCTTGGGTCAGGGTGGGGGCATTAACCAAATACTGTTTCTGGGGCAGCTCCATCTACGTCTCCCGGAAAGGCTGGCACATGCTGCTGAACCTCTGCTTCCATATGGCCATGACCTCTGCTGTCTTTGCGGGGGGCATTACACTCACCAACTATCAGGTCGTCTGCCAGGCGGTAAGCAAAAGGGGTTTGGGCAGTGGTGTGTGTGTGACAGTAGCTACAAGATTAGTAATGGTGACCTAGGCATAGAGTAGGGAGCTGCACAAGAAGGGAAAGGAGGCTCATGCAAATAGGCTCCAGCTCCATTCTCTGTGTCCAACCCAGCTGGGGAAGCGGAGGGGGTCGTAGAGGTGGAAGAGTAAGAATCAGGTCAGAGAAAATAGGAGATAGAACTCAAAAGTAGAGTGGGCACCTGCAATGGAGAAGTCAGGGAGGAGCCAGAAAACAAATGGCAGGGCAATGGAGAATCTCCAGAATGCAAGAGAAACTTGGGGGAAAATAGAGAGGGTAACAGCAAGGACAGAACCCCGAGGAGTATCTGAGTAGCTGGCTGGGTAGAGTAAAAGACCTGTGGAGTTGGAGGCAGGAGAAACAGAAGAACGCTAGTGGGGATGAGGCTCTGGGATGGCACAGTAGTAGCAGCCCAGGTCCCCCAACATCAGTGCCTGATCCTGCAGGTGGGCATCACTCTGCACTATTCTTCATTGTCTACACTGCTCTGGATGGGTGTGAAGGCCCGAATCCTCCACAAGGAGCTCACCTGGAGGGCGCCTCCTCCACAAGAAGGGGACTCTGCCCTGCCTGCTCCCCGTCCCATGCTCCGGTACATGCTTCCACCTGTTAGCTGTGCAGTGGGAGATGGTCTCAGAGGGGGGTGTAGGACACCAAAATCTGTTCTCCCAGGGTGGATGCAAGGTGGGAGATCAATTTCCAAGGAAAGAAGAGGCAAGGCCTGAGGTGGTTCCAGCTTGCACAAGACCACAGAGTGGGTACATCCTAGGGCCTTTCAGCCATGACATCAGGGAAGATCATAACTCCGAAGAGCATTGGGCAGGGACCCCAAGAATCTGAGTGGCATCCCTGGCTTCTGCATTGTTTAGGGAAAGAAGGGACAATTCTGGACTTCTGTCCCTTGGAACCATCTTGGCTAATTCCCCCAGGGACCTACTAGACCTGCATCCCTGGCAAAATATTCTGACAGAATTTAAAGGGGAAGAAAGATGGGACAGAGATTACTAAGTCCAAGGGTTCTAAGCACCTGGTTCTTCCTTTCCCCTTCCCTTCCCCTCTGACCCCCAAACCCCAATCCTCTCCAGGTTCTATTTGATCGCTGGAGGGATCCCACTCATTATCTGTGGCATCACCGCTGCTGTCAATATCCACAACTACCAGGACCACAGCCCGTAGTGAGCACACCCCTCCTGCCCAGCACCACTCCCTGCCTACCTTCAAACCTACCCATTCAGGCACCAGATGCCTTCTAGTCCATTGGCAGGGACACCTGCCAGGGACTGCCCAGCCAGTGACCCAACCCAAGCCCATGCATGTTGACTGTGCCAGTTTCTCCCTCTCTGCTCACCTATCCTCTACTTCCACAACCATCTCAGCCTGTGGGCCCTACCCCAGACATGCTCCCCTTCCTCACCCATTGCTTCGGTGTCTCCCCTCAGCTGCTGGCTGGTGTGGCGTCCAAGCCTAGGAGCCTTCTACATCCCTGTGGCTTTGATTCTGCTGGTCACCTGGATCTACTTCCTGTGCGCAGGGCTGCGCTTACGGGGTCCTCTGGCACAGAGCCCAAAGGGGCGAAACAGCAGGGTCTCCCTGGAACCAGGGGAGGAGCTGAGGGGTTCCACCAGGCTTAGGAGCAGTGGCCCCCTTCTGAGTGACTCAGGTTCCCTTCTAGGTGCTGGGAGCTCAGGGGTGATAACGTCCGGGCCCCCGGAGAATGGTGACGGCCTCTACTCTCCAGGAGTCCAGCTGGGGGCGCTGGTGACCACGCATTTCCTATACCTGGCCATGTGGGCCTGCGGAGCTCTGGCGGTGTCCCAGCGCTGGCTTCCCCGTGTGGTATGCAGTTGTCTGTACGGGGTGGCAGCCTCCGCCCTGGGCCTCTTTGTCTTCACTCACCACTGTGCCAGGCGCAGAGACGTTAGGGCCTCTTGGCGCACCTGCTGCCCTCCGGCCTCAGCCTCGGCTTCCCACGCCTCACCCCGGGCTCTGCCCACTGCTCAAGAGGACGGTTCCCCAGTGTTCGGGGAGGGTCCTGCCTCCCTCAAATCCTCCCCGAGCGGGAGCAGCGGCCACGCGCCGCCCCTGGGCCCCTACAAGCTCACCAACCTGCAGCTGGCCCAGAATCAGGTGTGCGAGGCAGGGGTGGCAGCCCGCGGGGAAGGGGAGCCGGAGCCCACCGGCTCCCGGGGAAGCCTTGCTCCACGCCATCCGAACAACTTGCCCCATGGTCGCCGAGTGCACAAGAGTCGGGCCAAGGGGCACCGCGCGGGGGAAGTGGTCAGCAAGAACAGGCTCAAGACCCTGCGCGGGGGCACGGCGGCTGGGGCCCCAGAGCTGTTGAGCAGCGAGAGCGGCAGCCTGCACAACAGCCCGTCGGACAGCTACCCCGGCAGCAGCCGCAATAGCCCGGGAGCTGGCCGCCAGCACGAGGGCGAGCTCATGCTCACGCCATCGGAGGGCAGTGACACGAGCGCAGCGCCACTTCCCGAGGCAGGGCGGCCGGGCCAGCGCCGCAGCACAAGTCGCGACAATCTCAAGGGCGGCGGGGGCGGGGCGCTGGAGAAGGAAAGCAAGCGTCGCTCATACCCGCTCAACACCGCCAGTCTAAACGGCGCCCCTAAGGGGGGCAAGTACGACGACATCAATATGACAGGCACGGAGGCGACCGGAGGCGGCTGCATGAAGACGGGCCTCTGGAAGAGCGAGACCACGGTCTAGGATGACACTTTAGAGCAAGATGGCCCTGGGCTTCTTACCCCTCACCCCCACCCCGGCTCCTCCAGGGCCCGCCCTCAAAGACGTCTTTTGGTACGTCAACAGAGTTGAGATAGAAGCGCCGGGTGACAGCTCCAGCTCTCACCAGCTTTAGTCCTGGAGTCAGGGGAAAAGGAGATAGATGTTTGCCAGTTTCCAAGAGGGCTATCTCTCGGGACAGCGACAGACAATCCCAGAACACTTGCGTGATACATCTCCATCCAAGCCCAGGCTAATTCTGGTGACCACTTTATTGGTGCCTACTGGGGTAGGGGCTAAAGTCCCATAGGTCTATGTTGTTGTTGTTGTTTGCCGTCGAGTCGGCCCCGACTCATAGCGATCCCTCCTTGGGTTTCCGAGGCAGTATCACTACTGAAGTAGGATTGCCCAACCTTCCTTCCAAGGAGTGGCTGGTGGGTTTGAACCGCCAGCCTTCTGGTGAGCAGTCAAGTGCCTTAGGCACTATGCTACCAGAGCTCCTAAAGTCCCATAGGTCTATAGCAACCCATAAACAAGGTGGAAGGGCACAGTGCAGCCCCTGGTCCTGAGTTCCTCCTTAGGTACTATGCATCCATCCACACTGCCTCACTGGTGGTCATCACCCTTACCAGGATAACATGATGGGAGTTTGGGAACTGCCTTCTCTTCTCACTGCCCTCTTCCAAGTCAGCCCAGTCTACCTAGATCTAGGACCTCTCTCCTACCCAGGTTTTGGCTAACAAGGGAGCACCCAACCTAGTGGATGAGCCAGGTGACAAAGACTAATGGGAGGTAACAAGGTGCTGTTTTTAGGCTAACTATGCAAGAGGGGATGGTGGGCAGTATGAAAAGGCAGCTTTGGAGATCAACCAGTCCTGTGGGAGGGTAGCTGGTGGAAAGAGTGCACAAACAGGGATAAAAACACCACTCTCATAAAGTACCACACAAACCTTACACATGGCTCAGAGACACTTCATTTAGACCTAAAAAGCTGACTGTGCCAGACATCTGAGGATGAGGATGATGTGAGGAAGTAGAGGGAGCTGGTACTTGGATCTGACGTAGAATCTAGTCATGGCCAAATGTGGTCCTATAAATAATGCTCTAAAGAGAGTGTGCACTGTACAGCTGCAGGTGGTACTGGGAGAAGCACTCACTGTCAATTATAAGACCCATATCCTCATTTTCAGCCTTCCAACACCAAGGGAGTGGGGGAAAGCAAGTTCCTGCCTCAGTGAGGCCATTTGGAAGAACCATTCCCAATAGCTCACTCTCCTGGTCTACAGTTCTAGAGAAACCCCCAAAACATCAAACCAGCTTCCTGACTTAGAAGCCAAGCCAAACCCCCTGAGGTAGTTGCTGAGGTCTCTGTAGCTCATCTGGAGCCTGTGCCTTCTACTTGGAAACACTAGGACCCATGTTTTTCCCAACCTTAAAAGCAACCACCAGCCTTTTTAATAGTGTCAAATGAAAGTGAAACCATGGGCCTGATGAAGAGTAACAGAAAGCCCAGGCCTGGTCTGGGCCCCTCCCAGGCTCTGTGCCACCCCAGCCCAATCACAAGGTGAAAGAGGGCGTACAGGAGGAGGGAAAGCTCACACTCCTTAGGATGGATCCTGTTATTTATGCTTGCTGCACAGACTGTATTAGACAGAAAAAAGAAAAAGAAAAAAAAAAGCTTTGTATTATTCTTCCACATAACGCTGGCTGCTGTTTACATACCCCGCCAATGCCTTAGCACTGGAGAGCTTTTTGCAATACGCTGGGGAAAGGGGAGGGAGGGAATGAAAAGTGCCAAAGAAAACATGTTTTTAAGAGCTCGGGTTTTATACAATAGAATGTTTTCTAGCAGATGCCTCTTGTTTTAATATATTAAAATTTTGCAAAGCCCTTTGAACTATTAAAGTCTACCCACAATTCTTTTCTTATGAGATAGAGGATCTCATGACACCGTACACATAAACCTACCAAGACTTGGTGACTGGATATAGGGCTGCGAATACCCCCAGTTCCTGTTCCTCTGAGGGATGAGACCATTGGAAATGCCAACGGTTCTACAGTAGCAAGGAAGCCCCATCAGGCCTATGCAACATTAGGAGTAGTGTGTCCAAATCAAAGTGGAAGCAAGAGAGCACCTGATATTTTCCCAGACGCTTAAGAGATAAACCATACCATTGCATATGAATATATGTATCTTGCTCTTTGACACTAAGGATGTGACTTTCTCTTCTATACATGGTCATCCCTGTAGTCCTCCTGAGTTCTACTCCAGAACCTGGGATCAAAGTAATCATACAGTCCCTCTAGGTTCCTTCAAAAAAGATAACACCTAAAGTCTTGTACCCATTTATTTCTCAGAATACGACTGGGCCTATTACCAAGCTGCTGTCAAAACGAGGTGAATGTGTATCAGAGTGCATTAGGTACACTCTTGGTAGCTGGTCTAGCAGCTTGGGCTCTCTGAAAGTCCCTAATTTCCTCAGGGGTACGCAAATACTGCTCTATTTCACTATCAGAAATATTCTCATCTCCAGTGACTGTGCAGACAGGAGATGTGGGTCGGAGCTGTTTTGGGGGCTTCAGCATGCAGGGTGGAAGGAGAAGGGCAGGACTAGCTGGTCGTTTCCCAGCAGGCAAATCTGAGGAGCTATTCCCCACCTTTTCTTCTCCCTGTCTTTGCTCCTGCCCCAGTCCCTGCAGCTCCCTCTCATAGGCCTCCATCTCTCCTGTTCCATCCCGAAAGGCCTTGCGGACCAGGGTGTGGCGGTGCTGGAGAAGATCTCCGATGTGCTTCACCACAGACCGTTTGTTCAGTTTCAGGATCTGCAACCAGGCTAGCTGCTCAGCCATCTTCAGCAGCACAGCCAGCAGCTCTTGCAGGCGGGAAGAAGCAGGGTAGGGCAGGTCTACATTTGCCAATTTACAAAATCGGGTGAGGGAACATGTCAGACGTCCTGAAGGCTGCAGTGACTGCCAGGCCAGGAAAGCAGCTGCAGTGATAATAGGCAAAGGGTGCCGTCCAGTCACCAGCCACGTCTCATTCGCCAGCTCCACTAACTGCAATGTTCGTGACAGCATCTTCTCTTTGTCTTCCACATATTTGGCTGGCACAGATGGGGAGGCCTGGAACAATTTGAAGCTGAAACAACCAAAATGAGGGCTGGTCTCAGTAACTACTATGAGGGTGCTATTTTTCCAAGGAGAGAAAGAATAGTCCACTCAAGATGGGGAAGCTCTTCTCTTGGGAACATTTAAGCTTGCTGGGCAGCAAGTTTACACAAGGTTTTCTGCTTGTTAGGCAAAGGGAAAGAGAATGCAGAAGGAAGCTGACATTTATTGAGCACCTCCCTGTCAGCCATTATTCTGAGTGCTTTACAAATACTCTCATTTAATCCACACTATACCCTGTTACCTACATTTATAGTTATAGTCATCAGCTAGTAAGAAACCAACCTTGAAACCCAAAACTATTAGACACCAATAGCCTTAGCTTTCTACTATATTTGTCAGAACAAATGAATATAGGTTACTTATACAATTTTTTTAAAAAAGACTAGCTTCTTAGCCCAGAACTATCATTTATTAGCATCCTGTGAACTTCATTCACAGATAATCCAGCAGAGGCAGGCCTGCTGAACATAGCCCTGCAGACCATGCACTGCACAACTCAGGAACTATCATTCACAAATAGTACAATGTGAGTGGTATATCACCACAGTCCTATGCTAAGACTAATACCTACTTCCCCTGTATCATTAAATTACTGTGAGGACAGAGGGATTGAAAATTAAAACACAGAAATGTAAAATGGGATTGATGTTACTACTACTAGACACAGACAGGAAGAATGGATTTTTCTCCCACACTCTTTTAGATAGATTTTAGTCAAAACAGAGACAGCCCAAGGTTAAGAGGATTTAGGTCTCAGAGAATAGGCACCCATCCCATCCCAGTGGCTCCTACAAGGCAAGTACCTGCTACAGTAGGTCTTCACTAGGTCTGCCAAGCACAAAGAGGGCACATCCAGCCCCAGAAGCTTCACTATCTGCATGTAGGTGCCAGAAAACACATCCAAATCAGCATATATCAAGGTGCAGATGGTTCCCATGGTTAGGGGCCAGTTATGCTGCCTGCAGGTGATTAAGACACAGCACCCCACCAACACCTCCTTCTTTTGCAGCCTGGCAGCACGAATACCAGAGTGCTGGTACGCCTGTTGGTAATAGGCAACTGCTGTGTCCTCGAATGTCGAAGGCAACTGCAGAATTCGACAAAGATCTCTCACTCGGCGGAGACCTAAGAAAACCCAGAGCAAGAGTTAGAGGCGGTCAAAGGAGCTTCTGTGTAGTGCCTAAGAATTTCTGCTAAAGTGGCTTCAGACACCAGAATCACAAATAATGTCCCTTGCTATGCTGACAGAAATGACATTTGGTACGGTCATTCTAAAAGCACAAAGAAATTTATGGAAAGAAATCACATCCTAGCACTTTTAGAGGCTAGTTTGATTCAGGGTCAGGCCAAAGTTTTATCCAGGCTCCTTGAGGCCACCTCAAACACACCCCTGCACAGACTTAAACCTTACATTGAACTGCTGCTATCTCTCTCAGAACCATCCCCACCTTTTATTTCTAATTATCCTTCTAAGGCATTTGAGTGCTAACCAGAAGGCTGGCAGTTCAAACCCACCAGCCACTCCTTGGAAGGAAGATTGGGCTATCTACTTCCATAGTGATACTGCCTTGGAAACCCAAGGAGGGGTCACTATGAGTCAGATCCGACTCGATGGCAGGGCATTTGGTTTTGGTTTGGTCTACAACAAGAAGCCCTGGTGGTGCAATAGCTAAGCACTTGGCTGCTAACCATAAGGTTGTGGGCTCAAACCCACCCAGTGGCTCAGTGAAAGATCTAGCAATCTGTTTCTCTCAAGACTGCAGCCTAGAAAATCCTACAGGACAGTTCAATCCTGTCACATGGGGTCACTATGAGTTGACCCCATGACACAACAACCCTAAGCCAGTAATACTGAAAACAGGAAAAGCAAACAGATGGACTTGGCCATCAAAATAACATTCTTTAAAGACACTGTGTCATAAAAAGGTTTATTCTCACCTCGTTGCTGGCTGCGACTAACTTGTTCATTTTCTCCTGTGCTTCGGGAGTATGTTACCTCTGTAAGACAAGGAGCAAGGAATAGCTTGTTTAGCCTTTGATTCCCAGATCCCTTCCCTCCCATATGAGACCAGGGAGCAGAATTCAAATCACCGAGTATCTACTCCATGACTCACAGAAAGCACCCATCTATGCAAACAATTGCTCATCCAGTTTTCTATGTCCACAAGCAGTATCAAATACACAGAGATGGGAAAGGGTAGGACTGCACTGAAGTGGCCCAACTGTTTGAAATTTCAGTCATCCTTCCTGCACATGTAACCCAGGAAAAAAAGAAAGAGAGAGAGAGAGAGAGAGAGAGAGAATGTTTTTGTCTATTAGTGCTAAAAATTATTTCAGGGCAATACTATGTGCTTTATTCCTAAAGAATTAACCCACAATCCTTCCACCATGACCTGAACAGACAAGTTGAGTGAAATTTTGTTTCTCTCTTAGCTTCATTCATTCAACATTTATTATATCTCGTATATATGCTGGATTCTGTACTATATACTGAGAAAACAAAGATGAATAGCAGTCCGAACTTCTGCAACTAACCAGTTTACTTTGGACCGTTTTTCCCATATTTAAGTGCGCGCGGCAAGCAAAGGGAGGAAAATAACATGTTAATCCCGCCACCATTCTCGGCCACCCCAAGGCCTAGGGAGGCCGGCCACAGGTACCTCGGAGGTTGCCCTCGTCTGCGAAGGTGGTGGTAAGGACCCCTTCTGTGACCACGCAGCCGCAGTCGGAGCACACCAGTTGGCTTTGAGAATAGTGCGAGTCCTCCACGAGCTCTGTGGAGTTGCACTCGGGGCAACATCGTCCGCCCGGCATCTTACATCCTGCACAGGACACCGTGAGGTTCTTCGCTAGCGCCGGAACCCTTCCAATACGTACGTTGCCTCCACAACAACAGTGCAGCCGCAGAAAAGAGAAGGGGACTCTTTTAAGGACTGCACCTTCCTCTTCCGGCCAGCGCTAGGGCGGAATAGGAAGGCTGGCGGTTAAAACCCACCAGCCACTCCTCGGAAGGAAGGAAGGTTGGGCAATACATAGTGATACAGCCTCGGAAACCCAAGGAGGGGTCGCTATGAGTTGGTTCCAACTCCAGGGCACGTAACAACACAACAACAGGTCGGCGGCGGCGCACCACTTCCGGTCTTTTCATGTGTTGACTGGAGTGGAAACCTGAGCTAGAAGACGAGGTTCCTGGTCTGAATTGCCTGAGTTAGCCACTCTCCGTTTGAAGTGGGAACACGCTGGGGGTTTAATTTGCGAGAACTTACTGCATACACAACACGTATATTAGACAAGAAATTGTTACTATCGTGTAACAACTGCCCTTTTTAAATCGGTAAATAATCTCAGGTTCTCTGTTTCTCTGCTGCAGTGGCTGTTGATTTTGGCCATAGTAAAAAGCGTATTAAGGAGCTCTGGTGGCGCAGTCCTAAGGCATTTGGCTGCTAACCGGAAGGTTGGCGGTTCAAACGCACCAGCCACTGTGTGGGAGAAAGATGAGAAGGTAGTCTGCTTCTGTAAAAATTTTCAGCCCTGGAAATCCTGTGGGGACACTTCTACTCTGTCTTGTAGGGTCGCTATGAGTCAGAATTTACTTGCCGGCAGGGTTTTTTTTTTTTCCTCCCTCTCAGAAAGCATGTCTCTAAAAGGCAGAGTAGCTTAGTAAGAGAGCAGGAAATTGGGTTCTGTTTCCCAGAGCTGCTTCCCCAGGCAGGTTGTTTCCTCGCTTTGAAACCGATTTTTCTCAACTGTAGAATGAGGGAGTTGAGTTAAAATCTAGTTTGCTATCAAACTCAAATGCCCTCAGAGGCTAGACAAAGAATGTCTGCCTAATGATGTTTGGAGTGAAAAAAGTACGGAGTCGTAAGGCCTTTGGTAAACTGGAGAGTGCAAGAAAATTTGTTTTCAAAACCTTGAGCTTTAAGATGCTTAACGTTTGATTCTGGCCCCAAAGTTCTCGACTTATATAGTATATATAAACTATATATATAAACTGTGCCTTTAGTTATGATATTACAGAAATACATAGAACATGATCAAACACAAAACAAAGCTTAAAAATTAGATGACTGGTGGGACTGTAAAATGATAACAACCACTGTGGAAATACAACAATTCCTTTAAAAGTTGGAAATAGAAATACCATTTGATCCAGCAATTTCATTGCTAGGCATATATTCTAAAGAGGTGAGATTGGGGACATGAATAGATTTATGCACACCCGTGTTCATCATGGGAGCTCTGGTAGCATAGTAAGTACCTAAGGCACTTGACTGCTAACCAGAACGCTGGCAGTTCAAACCCACCAGCCACTCCTCAGAAGGAAGGTTGGGCAATCTACTTCCATAGTGATACTGCCTTGGAAACCCAAGGA